TTTTTCCAGATGGAGTCGACGATGCGCCTTACGGAATTATAGGTCCAGAAGAAGCATACAATGGTGAAAATATTACTCTTATCTGTGCTGCTGTTAAACATAACCATCTATCTGTAACTTGGTTAGATGACCAGTTCCAAGAGATAACTAATTCTGGTAAGTTTCAATTTACTTTCTTCTTAAAAAATTGAAATCCTGCAAAATGTTCTGCTTGACCATAAAATTAATACTATTTTATTTGGATTTCAGCAAAAGAGCATGTTACTTCGAAGAAGACTAATTTTACTATTCGTAAAGAACTTGTGATCTATAACATAAGTCAATCAGATGAGAAAGACTATCACTGCAGTGTTATGTCTGATACAAAGTCAACCAAAATTATAAGATACCATGTTAATTATAAACGTAATTAAATTTTAAATGTTACCTAAATACGTAACTTTACAAATTATATTTTAAAAAATAATATCAGTGAAAATGATTGAAATTTGAATAATAATAAAAACAATTATTATCATTGTTTCTATTTTTATTTTATATTATCAAATTACAATTTTTGAAAATTATATTATAACTCACAGTTAAATTATGCTTATCTTTGCAGTGTGCAAGGGGCCTTATTTCATAAGAGATAATATGAATTCTAACAGTGCAATCGTATTAACAACAGATGCTCGAAATATTATTTATTTATTTTGTTTTGTCGGAGGATCGCCAAGACCGAACATAACATGGTACAAGGATGATACACTTTTGAATCTTTCGGAAGATCGATTTAGCCTTGTATTTAATGATCAAAAATTAATTATAAGATATCCAGTGGAAGATGATAGCGGTAATTATTCCTGTCGTGCTGAAAATCAATTCGGGAAAATAGAAAAAAATCAAAAAGTAAACGTAAGTGGTAAACAAATCAGTACATGTGTTTATTTTTAAATTATTTGTATTAAATAAAACAATCCTTCCAACTAAATTATTTCGTCACAATGTATTGTATACAAGTTAATATCCAATTTCTTCTTAAAATTGAATCTAACATAAACCATATTACATAAAAAATTTAAGGCAGAAAAAAGCTAATGCTTTTTAAATCTTGCGTAAGAAAATTAAAATTAAATTACGTTACAATTTTTGATAATGTGTACTAAAGAGCAAGGCTTGTTTATCTATTACTTTTAGTATTTCTTAAAAATATCATCTGCTTGTATTCTCAAATCCTTAGCAATAAAGATATTTTGTCTAAGGTGATTTAGTAAACATTTAATATTTGCTAATTTATTCGTCCGAAAAGCTATATTAGCTACAGGAGCACGTCTAGAAATATTACGGAGGCCCTCTATGGACTCGCAGACCATTAAATTTCTAATTCTTAATTATTATACATGATTATACAATTGATCATAAAAATAACTTTCACTGATAAATTTTTTTTTCTTATATTCTCACTGAAAAATTTCATTAACCCCTTCATTCAGGGGAAAAAAACTTTTTCCGCCCTCGGGTGGTTTTGTGAGGCTGGTACTTCCTCGGGCAAAAAAGCAGTTTTTCGATACTCGTTCAAAAAGTCTCCTTTACGAACCTCGTTACGGACCTCGCCTTCGGCTCGGGCCGCAAACCTCTCGGTTCGCAAACAAAGACTTTTCAAACTCGTAGGAAAACTACTATTTTTCTGGCTTCACTAATTACATAACTAAGATGGGTAAAAGTACTAAGGCTGCGGTTTTAAGTCTGCAAAAAAGGCTTACAGAGCTAATTACACTGTGAGAGAATGTGCCTTACATACTCATTACATTTACACAATACAATTACACCTTTAAGCTGAAAAATGTGTATCGTGCGCAAAAAAGAGTGATATATCCAAAGCATTAGGACGCAGAAAATTATTGTAATAATAAAAAACAATACTGTTATCAATTTTTCTTTATATTTTAATAAGATATTACAAAAAAAATTATGTCAGGATGTGTAATTTATAGAATCAGTATGAATAATCATTCTTTCACGACATAAACAAGGTCTCGAAAACTTTTGGATTAATAAGACTTTGAAACTGACTTCTATTTATTAACAAGAATTCTAAGCACATCAAGAAAATTTGATTAAAGATGTATTTATTCTTAATAAATACTTAGCAAATAGTTGGATCTCAAATCAATTTAAAGACAGCACTAGAAAAACCTGTAAAATGATAATAAAGTTAGTTTATATCTCATTTACATCCAAGTTATACATTATAGAAACACTCAAATGGTTAAGGTATTGAATGTAAAAAGTATAAACTACTTATAACTACTATGTTAATAGCTTATACATTTCCAGAATTGTTTCTTTAATTTTCATAAACAATATAATTAACGAAGTCAAAAATTGATATCGTTCTTAAAAAAGTTATCTTCATATTTTCGGATATTTTTCAACATTCAAGTCTCCCGTTTTCAATTCTTTATGGCTCAATTTTGACCTTGCATCAAGTATTTTTTGATAAAAATGTAATTGATATTTTACTGTTGTGCATCGCATTCTTCTTTTTAAATCTATATTTCCAATTAGTAAAGGCTTATTATACACAGTGGATACTTATATCTCATATTGTACAACGAGTATAAAAGAGAGTACAAATTGTTTGATTATAGCTCAATTGTTTAACAGTAAATTTGTTTATAATGAATGTTCTAAAAGCTTCAGAATAGTCGCGTGACATTTTTACACGATTGTGTTCTCTTGGTTTAACACCAAAGCTGCTCATTTTTGTAAAGTTGAGAAATAGTTTTCTAAATAAATCATAGAATCTTTTACCACGGATAATATTCATATAGGATACATAATGATTTTAGAGGTTAAAGAACGTTATCTTCGACATACAATGGTAGTTTGTTTCATCACGATTCTTATTTTACTTTCTGTATACTTTTGTTTAAAAGTACAACATGAAAAGGTAAGATAATATTTGAAACTGAAAGTTCTAAATATTTAATAAAATCNCTTTCATTCATATTTTAATAAGATATTACAAAAAAAATTATACCCGGATGTGTAGTTTATTGAATTAGTATCAATAATCATTCATTCACGACATAAACAAGGTCTCGAAAACTTTTGGATTAATAAAACTTTGAAACTGACTTCTATTTATTAACAAGAATTCTAAGCACATCAAGAAAATTTGATTAAAGATGTATTTATTCTTAATAAATACTTAGCAAATAGTTGGATCTCAAATCAATTTAAAGACAGCACTAGAAAAACCTGTAAAATGATAATAAAGTTAGTTTATATCTCATTTACATCCAAGTTATACATTATAGAAACACTCAAATGGTTAAGGTATTGAATGTAAAAAGTATAAACTACTTATAACTACTATGTTAATAGCTTATACATTTTTCAGAATTGTTTCTTTGATTTTTATGAACAATTTAATTAACAAAGTCAAAAATTGATATCGTTGTTAAAAAAGTTTTCTCCATATTTTCGGCTATTTTTCAACATGAAAGTCTTCCATTTTCAATTCCTTATGGCTCAATTTTGACCTTGCATCAAATATTTCTGATAAAAAAATAATTAATATTTTACTGTTGTGCATCGCATTCTTCTTTTTAAATCTATATTTCCAATTAGTAAAGGCTTATTATACACAGTGGATACTTATATCTAATATGATACAACGAGTATAAAAGAGAGTATAAATTGTTCGATTATAGCTCAATTGTTAAACAGTAAATTCGTTTATAATAAATGTTCTTAAAGCTTCAGAATAGTAGCGTGACATTTCTACACAATTGTGTTATCTTGGTTTAACACCAAAGCTGCTCATTTTTTTAAAGTTGAGGAATAGTTTTCTCAATAAATTGTAGAAACTTTTACCGCGGATAATATTCATTTACAACAAATTATGATTTTAGAGGTTAAAGAACGTTATCTTCAACATGCAATGGTAGTTTGTTTCATCACAATTCTTATTTTACTTTCTGTATACTTTTGTTTAAAAGTACAACATGAAAAGGTAAGATAATATTTTGTACTAAAAGTTCTAAGTAATTTATGAAATCTCTAGGAATATCATTAATAATTTATTAATTGTAAAAAGATAATGAGGAAGCAGCTATCAGAAGTTGGTTTGGCTTATTTTAAAGAAGGAGCCGTTGATTTGATAAATCCAGAACTAAAATTCAACGAGCAGGCCGAGTATCTTCCATATGATGAAAAGTGGGAATTTTCTAGAGAAAAATTAAAGTTAGGTATGAAATATGAGTTTACCGTGTAGCAATAGCTATAATAACCAAATTTAATGGACAAATCGTGATATTTGAGATTACAGGTGAACAGTTGGGAAGTGGAGCTTTTGGGGTTGTAGTAAAAGCAGAAGCTTTTGGCATATGTGCCACAGAGCCTGTTACGAGTGTGGCTGTAAAAATGGTTCACGAAAATGCTGAACCAGTTTATATCCGTGCTCTTGTAACAGAACTTAAAATTATTATGAATGTGGGGCAACACTTGAACGTAGTAAATCTTCTTGGCGCCTGTACAAAAAATATAGCAAAACGTTAGAATTCTTATGGCATTTTTAAAAATAATAGTTGACACTTTGAAATAAAAAGCAATTCATTTTGTAGGTGAATTTTTAGTGATTCTCAAATCCGTGCTCTTGTAAGAGAACTTAAAATTATGATGAATCTGGGGCAACACTTGAACGTAGTAAATCTTCTCGGCGCCTGTACAAAAAATATAGCAAAACGTTAGAATTCTTATGGAATTTTTTATAATAATAGTTAACACTTTTAAATAAAAAGCAATTCGTTTTGCAGGGGAATTTTTAGTGATTCTCGAATCGTGTGCTTATGGAAACCTGGAAGACTTTTTGAAATATCATAGAGGAAATTTCGTAGACCAAATAAATCCATTAACAGGTCATATTGATTCATCTATTAAACAAAAATCCACAAGGTACTTATTTTGTGTTCTTTTTCCTTCAATTAAAATTCGAATTCATAATAAAATTACAGGCTGCATGATGGCACAATTTTCTGTGTCATCAAACATGCACAATTTTTTCCATCATGATGCAATAAAATGCATGATCAATAGAAGTTATGCGTAAAAAGTAAAAGCAGTATTCTGTTTTGTTTTGAGAAGTACAGTTTTAAATTTTTATAATGTTTTGTAAGTGTTTTTAGTTGCATCCTCTAGAAGTCATGAACTTGACACATAAAAATGAGGAGGAATATGAGCATAATGATCTTTCAGATTTTTCTAAAAATTGAGCATCGTTAATACGTATTTTGACTTTGCTCTATCAAAATGAAATTTTGAGTCGGTTTGATAAAATTCATTAATTTTTTTGAGTGGCTATTTACAAGCACTGCGATTACGTTATCAAAGTCTTTTAATGTTTTAATTAGAATTTTTAACAAATAGATAACAGTTAATTAAATTATACTTTTTGTACTATGTGAGAAAAATATGACACTGACGAATATATTTTCTTTATTTCTTTCTACTTTAATATACTTTAAAGTTCGTCTTTTTCTACTTATTTTTGATTTAGTAATTATTGTAGATTGAAGCTATTTGTTAATGTAAATTATCAAAAAATCAAATACTGAAAGAAAAATGATAATTGTGAACTGTACGATTTTTTACTATACAGATTATGTTTGAACGAATCGCATACATATATATTTACTCTTTTTGATAACTAGAGCAAAAAACGTGGATTTAGAATCATACAGTCATCTAAAAACGGCATTCAGCAACAGTGATGCAAACTTTCCCTTTAACAAGGCTCAGAACTCCAACGATTCCATTGAGTTCCGTAGTACCTCGTACTGTGATGATTTACAACCAAGTTGGCGTTCTAACTACGAAGGCAATTATCAAAACTGGAATGCTGAATGCATCTGCTCCCATGACCTCCTCTCTTGGGCTTATCAAGTAGCTCATGGCATGGAATATCTATCGAGGAGAAACGTAAGAATATTTATACAAAACAACTACTCGTACATACTTTGTCTTTTACTTCACTAATGTTTCTACGTGTACAGATTTTACATTGTGATTTGGCTGCCAGAAATATTTTGCTATCTACAAATAACATCGTCAAGATTTGTGACTTTGGTTTGGCCCAGACGTTGTACAAAGACATCAATTATACGAGGCTACACGATGTAAAATTGCCGTTCAAGTGGATGGCCATCGAATCCCTCAGGGACGGAGTATTTTCGACTAAATCCGACATTTGGTCATTTGGTATTGTGATCTGGGAGTTTTTTACTCTTGCAGAGACACCATACTTAGGCATGCAAGCCTCAGTAGTATATCAAAAACTCATTAACGGATACAGGATGGGCCAACCAAGATATGCAACAAACTATCTGTTAGTGAAAAAAAGCTCTTTTATGTAAATAGCTTATCTTTCGAATTATTAATATGTTTATTTATATATTTCTCAGTTACAATATCATGCTCAACTGCTGGGAAGACGAGCCAACTTTAAGACCATCATTCACAAAACTATCCAAAAATATTGGTATGCTTTTAGATAAAAGTACGAGAGTGCACTTTGAGAAACTGTACCAAGAGTATGAGAACATTAATAAGGAAGTGGACTTAATAAGAGAAAATGATTATTCGAAAAATATGTCTTCACCAGATAAGGTTGCTCTTGCCCTGCCTCAACAGAACTATGAAAATCGATTGCTGCAGGTTGAAAACCCTATGTACTTGTGTTTAAACAATAATGACAGGCTTTTAGCTGACACACCGAGGAAGTTTGATAACTGTTTATGACAAAATCTTACATGTATGTTTCAAAAAGTTACTCTTGAAAACTATATAAAAATTCTGTAATAAACTAAAATGATATCGTTAATAAGT